AAAGAGACTACAGCTCTGATTGGAGGAAAAAGAAAAGAAACATGAAGAATGAGAAAAGAAACAAGAAAAACAAGAAAATAAACAAGAAGAGAGACTACAGTTCTGTTACTCCCTTCGTCCCAACTGAAATGTCCTGGACCATGATAATGCCAAAGTCTGTTGGCATGCACCACTTTTGGCTTATCTCGCCGACCACATTTTATCTGGAAAGTCACGTCTGAGAGACGATCCACTATGTCATATGGGCCTTCCCATGGAGAAGACAACTTAGGAGACTTCCCTTTGGTCTTCCTGGGATTTTACAACCATACCTTGTCTCCTGGTACAAAGCTGACTTCAGTAGATCTCTTATCATAAGTTAACTTCATCAAATCAGCAGATGTTTTCAAGTTTGAACGCACTTGATGGTGAATATCATCCATCCTTTCCGATAACACTTTCACAAACTCTGACACATTCTCAGGCAACTCTTCATAAAGTGGGTGTCCTGTTAACAGATCCACTGGCAACCGAAGTTCCCGATCAAAAATCAACTTTGCTGGAGTGTATCGAGTGGTTTCATGCTCTGCTGTCCTATAGGCCATCAATAGTGGAGAGAGTAAGACATCCCAGTCATCTTGGCGGCTAGTACGAAACTTTGCCAATTCCTGTCCCAGTGTCCAGTTGTATTTTTCTACCATCCCATCAGACTGCGGGTGAAGTGGCGTTGTCCTGGTCTTTCGGATGCCAAACAACTTGCAGCATTCTTGGAACACAGCTGATTCAAAGTTATGGCCTTGATCTGAATGAAGTTCATATGGCATACCAAATCTGCAGAAGAAATCACTAATAGCCGAAGCTACAGTTGTAGCTTCCTGATTTGGTATTGCATATGCCTCCGGCTATTTGGTGAATTAATCCATCACCACACAAATGTACTTGTTCCCAGCACGAGTTTGGAGCAGAGGACCAGCAATGCCGACGGCTACTCTTTCCATTGGTGCACTAACTTGATATAGCTTCATTGGAGCACGTCCCTTATGCTTGGGTCCCCTTTTAGCACAACATGTACTGCATGTTCTGCACCATTCTTCCACATCTTGTCTCATACCTATCCGGTAAAATGTGTGTCGTAGGTGACTCAATGTTTTCTTAACTCCGAGATGTCCTCCTGTTACAGTATCATGGGATTGACGCAGCACAACTTCCCGTAACTTTCTCGGTATAACCGTTTGCCAGGTCGTCAATTTCCCGT